TATTTTTGTCCCCTCCCAATGCTGAAAACGGGGTGGGGGTCCCAGGGGCCCCATGTTGTTCCTGGGGGGGTCCACACAGTTTTTGTGGGGGTTCTTGGCAGCCCCACATTGTTCTTGGGGGCGTCCTGTTGTTCCTGGGGGGGTCCTGGTGTTCTTGGAGGGGGATCCTGTGAGCCCCACGTTGTTCTTGGGAGGTCCTGGTGTTCCTGGGGGTGTCCTGGGAGCTCCACACAGTTTTTGGGTGGGGGTCCTGGCAGTCCCACCTTGTTCCTGGCAGCCCCCTGTTGTTCTTGAGGGGGGTCCCAGGAGCCCCACGTTGGTCCTGGGGGGGGTCCTGGCAGCCTCACACAGTTCTTGGGGGTGTCCTGGCAGCCCTATGTTGTTCCTGGGGGGTGCCTGTTGTTCCTAGGGGGGTTCCCATGAGCTCCACACAGTTTTGGGGGGGCTCCCATGAGCTCCAAGCTGTTCCTGGGGGTGTTGTGTTGTTCCTGGGGGGTTCCTGTTGTTCCTGAGGGGCTCCTGTTGTTCCTGGGGGGGGTCTCACGTTGTCCCTGGGGGTGTCCTGTTATTCCTTGGGGGTCCCTGTTGTTCCTGGGGATGTCCTGTTGTTCCTGGGGGTGTCCTGTTATTCCTCGGGGGTCCCTGTTGTTCCTGAGGGGTTCTTGTTGTTCCCGGGGGGCTCCTGGCAGCCTCACACAGTTTTTGGGGGGGGGTCCCAGCATCCCCACGCCGCTCCCGTGCCTCTCCCAGCGCCGTCACTGCTTCCCCGCCGCCTCCTCCTCCTCCTCCCCAGCCCCGCGCCGTTTCTCCCTCTTGGAGCCCCCCAGGCAGGGGGGCGCGGGGGGGTTTTGGGGGTCGCTGTGCCACTGCTCGGGGGTGCGGGCCGTGACCTGCAGGGCGTGCAGGGGCCCGGCCAGCTCGGCCCGCAGCGCCTCGTGCACCAGGCGGTGCCGCTGCAGCGGCGACAGCCCCGCGAAGAGCGCGCTCACCACCAGCACCCCGAAATGCGTCTCGGCTCCGGGGGGGCCCCCGTGCCGGGGGGAGTCATCGCGGACCTCCAGGTGCGTGGGCTGGAGGGCGGCGGTCAGCTTGGCACGGATGGTGCGGGCTAAGGGACCGCCCGGGCCACCCATGGCAGCGGCCGCGGCGGCGAGGAGGGGACCCCGCATCGGGGAAGGGCTGGAACAGAGAGAGGGGGGAATTAGGGGTGCAGGAGGGGACCCCGCATCGGGGAAGGGCTGCGAGAGAAAGGGGGGGAATTAGGGGGTGCAGGGGGAGAGACCCCCCCGGACCCTCAGGAGGGGACCGCGCATCGGGGAAGGGCTGCGAGAGAGAGAGAGGGGAAACTGGGGGGTGCAAGGGGAGAAACCCTCCCCCGACCCCCAGAATTGGAGAAAGGCTGCAAGAGAGAGGGGGGAATTGGGGGTGCAAGGGGAGAAGACCCCCTGAGCCCCAGGAGAGGACCCCACATTAGAGGAGGGGGACAGGGATGAGGATTCAGGGTCTCAGGAGGAGAGAACACGGAGAGGTGACTTGCGGGGGGCTCTGCCGGGTCAGCCGCTGTTATTGGGGGTGTCGGAGGGGCTGGAATGGGGAATAAAGGGGGGCTGGGGGCGGGGACCCTCCTTGAACAGCCCTCGCCCCGGGGAACAGCACGGGGGTGTCCCGGCGACCTTTCAGGCCCGGAGCTCTCGGAAAGGCCCTGACTCCCCTCAGAGCCCCCCTGTACCCCCGATCCTCCCACAGGGCACCCCCCGGCACCAGCAGGTATTGCCGGAGTCCCCAAAGCCCCCGGTTCCTTCCCGATCCCCCCCCGGTTCCCTCATGGTCCCCCTGCTCCCCTCACGGCCCTCACCGCTCCCGCCGTCACGTGACACCGCCGCAGTTACACCACGTGACCCAACCGCTAAGCCCCGCCCACACACAAAATCACCACGCCCCCTTTATCCTTATATGGGAAAGGAGGCGGAGACCGCGGTGTGGGGGCGTGGCCAGGCGTGCTAGGGGGACACGGGGGGACATTTTATTTCTCATTTTTTTCCTCATTCTTTTACTAATTTCGTCCTGATTTTTCCCAGATCGTCCTGATTTTTCCCGGTTCATCCTTAATTTCCTTACTTTTATCCTGATTTTTCCATATTGACCCCTATTTTTCCAGCACCGCCCTCATATTTTCCAGATTCACTCTCATTTTTTATTTCTCCTCATTTTTTCCTTATTTTCATCCTGATTTTTCCCAGATCATCCTTATTTTTCTTGGTTCATCCTGATTTTCCTACTTTTATCCTGATTTTTCTGTATTCACCCCTATTTTCCAGCACTGCCCTCATATTTTCCAGGTTCACTCTCATTTTTTATTTCTCCTCATTTTTCCAGATACACTTTATTCTTTTCCTATTTCATCCTGATATTTCCACGTTCATCCTGATTTTCCTATTTTTATCCTGATTTTTCCATATTCACCCCTATTTTTCCAGCACTGCCCTCATATTTTCCAGATTCACTCTCATTTTTATTTCTCCTCATAATTTCCTTATTAATTTCTCTTTTCATCCTGATTTTTCCCAGATCATCCTTAATTCTTCAAGTTCACCCTCATTTTCCAGATTCGCCCTTAGGAGATTCCCTAAAAACTAAAAGGAAGTTATTTTGGTCTTTTTTTCTTTTTTTTTTTTTTACTTTTTTTGGGGTTCCTGCCAGTCCTGCTGCCACCTCATGGGTGAGGGTGCCACCTCTTCTCAAACTTCTCTCTGGCTCAAGAAGTCTCTGTAAAACCTCTCCACAAATCCCCAAATCCCCCCCAAAATCCCTGTCGTAGTTGAGATGGAGACAACACCAAGCAACACTCCATTTTCAGGAGGCTTCAAACTATTTATTGGAATAGACTTTCTCTTATTTATCTTATTTATTTTTCTTATTTCTCCTTTTTTCCTTGGTTTCTATGTCAAGCACCTGGGTAGGAAATCCTTTCAGGGCTGAACATGGATCTCAAACTTCTCCGTGGCTCACAGAAATCCCATTAAAACCTCTCCCACACCTGGAGAGCCCTCAGGATGGGCAGCTCTGAGGGATTCCATGCCCACCTGACGCCATTTCTCCGTGTGTGCTTGGGAAATCTTGGCTCTCCCTTCCCCTCCCCACTGGAATTTGCCTTTTGGGATCCAGAATCCCCCCTGGCTATTTTTAAAGTGCTCTCAGAGCCCACTCAGCCCCTGCTGTCCCCTGTCAGAATTTTCAGCTGTTTTTTCCTCCCTCTGGGTGGCAACAGCCGGGATTCCCTCCTCATTCCCACCCTGACCAAGGACCGGGATTTTCCTCTGGATCTGGGGGGATTTGGTGGAATTTTCTGGGGTAAGGGGGGTGCTGGGATCCTTGGATGAGGTGTGGGGATGAAGGGATGGGATTTGTGCTTGGGATGGGATTTTTTATATTTTTATTTCCTTTATTTATGCTTGGGAAGGGATTATTTCCATTATTTCTGGAGGGATGGGATTATTTCCTTTATTTATGGAGGGATGCTATTAATTTCCTTTATTTATTATGGAGGGATGGGGTTTATTTCCTTTATTTCTGGAGGCATGGGATTTATTTCCTTGATTTCTGGAGGGATGGGATTTATTTCCCTTATTTATGGAGGGATGGGGTTTATTTCCATTATTTATGGAGGGATGGGATTTATTTCCTGTTTTTCTGGAGGAATGGGAATATTTTCCTTATTTCTGGAGGAATGGGATTTATTTCCTCCCAAGCATGGCATGGAAGGAGGAGTGCATCCTTTGGGACTGATTGTGCATCCTGGAAAGAGGAGGGATCCACTCTTCCAGCCCTCTGAAAAACATTGATTTCCCCAAATTCTTCTCTTCCCACCCCAATCCCAGAGCCCTCCTGGGCTCAGCTGGGCGCCAGGATTTGCTCCCTGCAGGTGGAAAACAGCAGGAACTTGGTTTGGGAGCCAGAAGGATTTCCTGGATTGTGTTCCCAAAGGGATTTGTGGGTGCTACAATGCTGAGAGACCCAAATTCCCACCCCTGTCCTCTGGAATGGACCTGGAAAATCCCAGTTTGGACATTCCTGACCATTGCTGACCATTGCTGACCATTGCTGACCATTCCTTCTCCTTGCAGGGGTTGGTGCAGCTGCTTCCTGCACCTGTGTAGGTGGGAATGGACCTGAAAATCCCAGTTTGGACATTCCTGACCATTCCTTCTCCTTGCAGCAGGTGTAGGTGGGATTTCAGGAGTGCAGCCAGCATGGCCTGGCAGTCATTGACCCCTGGGGACATTGGCCACCAGCCCTGGGGACACTGGCCATCGATCCCTGGGGACATTGGCCAACTTTGGCCCGTGCCATGTTTGCCTTCAGGACCTGGCTGTGCCCCAGGAGACAAAACGTTGGAAAAGCGTTCCCTGGCAGGGACCATCCCCATTTTCTGCTGGACACGTCCCACAGGGAAAAGCTTTTCCACAAAGATTCACCCCCGGGTGGTGCCCACGGGAGCTTCCAAGGAGGAAATCCCAGGGAAGCTCCCACATTCCCCAGGGTCTGGGGGCTCCCCAAACCTGGAGCTGCTGTGCCCCACCTTCTCCAGGCTCTGGCTGTGGTTCCAGGCTGGAGCAGAGCCCAGCTAAATTTAGAGGGATCGATTTCAGCCCCCGCCTCTGCCCCGCGGGGGGAAAGGACAGAGCAAAGGTGGCCGGGGACGAGGAGCCACAGGGGGATCCCTTCTCTGTGCCCTGAATTTGGGCTCCTGGGACCCCAAGTTCATCCAGGAGCATGGAGGAGCCCAGGGGGGCTGGAATTCTCCTGGGTTATTCCACGGGTTTCTGTGGTTGTCACCTGGGGCAGAGCTGGTGACAAGGACGCGGGGAAGGAGCTCCTGAGGAGGCTGATCCAGGTGAGGGGGCAGTGGGAGAGCAGGAATGAGGGTCCCAGGGTGTGGTTGGCACCCAGGGGTGGCTCTGGTCCCACCTGTGGTGTCCCCAAAGTGAGGGTGGAGTGAAATGCTCAACGCCCACCCCTGTGAGGAAACGGCTCAAGAAAAACCGGGGTGGGGGGCTTAGGTTGGATATCGGGGTGATAAAACTTCAGGGGGATGAAATTTCCTCATGGAAAGGGTGGTCAGGGTGTGGCAAAGTGGAGTCACATCCCTGGAGGTGTTCAAAACCACCTGGGGACAAGTGGTGGCCTTGGAAGTGCTGGGTTGGACTTGCTCCTGTGGTCCAAGGGGTGCTTGGAGGAATCTTGGGGTACCTGAAAGACTCTTGGGGTCCATGGGGTGACCAAAGGAATCTTGTGGTCCATGGGGTACCTGGAGGAATCTTGGGATGCTGAAAGGAATCTTGTGGTCCATGGGGTGTCCAAAGGAATCTTGTGGTCCAAGGGGTACCTGAAGGAATTTTGGGGTGCCTGAAGGAATCTTGTTGGGTTTGGCTCCACCTGAGTTTTCCATTGTTTAAATGGTGTTTAAAAGGGCCCCTCTCAGTCCCATCTCTCCAGTCCCACCTTTGGTTTCAGGGGAGCTGCTGAATGAAGCCGGGAGCTGCTGGTGGGTGAGAGACCCCCCGAGTTCTGCATGGATGGGAATGGGGAGAGCTGCCCACAGTAGGAGCCCAGGGCAGCTGGAAAATTCCAGCCTCTTCCTCCGAGCTTTCCTGCTCCTCTTCCTCCTCAGGCATGGTAAGGATCAGCATGGGCAGGGTTGTTCTCTGTAAAAATCAGGAGAAAAATGCTTTCAGGAGGAATCTCCATGAGAATCTCGAGCTGGATGGTGTGGGGAATGTTGTGGTTTAGGTTTAGTTTGGTGGGTTATAGGTGTGGGTTGGTGGTGGTTTTTTGGGTGTTTAGTTTAGAGTAGGTTTAAAGAAAAGGGAAAAAACCCTATAGCTTAGGGAATTTTTTTAGTTTTAATATAGCATTTTATTTTAATATAATATATATAATAAAATAATGAATCAGACTTCTGAAACATGGAGTCAAGATTCTCATCTCTTCCCATCTCGGGGTTGCCTGGAAATTCCACATTTGGTGAACCCTGAGTGAGGAACATTACCACAATTGTGGAAGAGATAAGGTGTGGTGGTGTTTACAGGGATCCCAGGATGAGGGAAGAGATGAGAATCTTGACTCCATGTTTCAGAAGGCTGATTTATTATTTTATTATATATTATATTAAAATAAAATGACATATTAAAACTATACTAAAGAATAGAAGAAAGGATTTCATCAGAAAGGAACAGAAAGGAATGACAATAAAATCTTGTGACTCTCAGAGAGTCCGAGACCGCCGGACTGTAATTGGCCATTAATTAAAAACAACTACATGAGACTAATCAAAGATGCACCTGTTGCATTTTACAGCAGCAGATAATTATTGTTTACATTTCATTTCTGAGGCTTCTCAGCTTCAGAAAAGATCTTAACAAAAGGATTTTTCAGAAAATACCATGGCGACAATAGATATATATATATATATATCATAAAATAATAAATCAGCCTTCTGACACATGGAGTCAAGATTCTCATCTCTTCCCATGCTGGGATTGCCAGCAAATTCCACATTTGGTGAACCCCGAGTGAGGAACATCACCACAATTGTGGAAGAGATAAGGAAAACCGCCCACTTGACAAAAGCCAACGGCCACTCAGATGGTAACAGAACACATCTCGCCTTGAAATCTGGAACAGAGGAGGACAAGCTGCCCTTTCCCCAACCCATCTTTCCTCTCTCAGTCTCTTCCCAGTGCAAGATCCTCCGCTGCAACTCGGAGTACGTGGCGGCCACGCTCCACCTGCGCGGCCCCGAGCGCGGCGCCGCCTTCTGCACCGCGCTGCGCTCCTACTCGCTGTGCACCCGCCGCACCGCGCGCACCTGCCGCGGCGACCTGGCCTTCCACTCGGCCGTGCACGGCATCGAGGACCTCATGATCCAGAACAACTGCTCCAAGGAAGGCCCCACGGCCCCACCGCGGCCCCGGCCCGCGGCGCCCAACGCCGCGCACGGCTTCGACTCGCTCGATATCTGCGATTACGAGAGGAGTTTCCTCTACAAGCACGGCCGGCCCCCCGGTTTCCAGCACTGCGCTGCTTTTGGGGACCCCCACATCCGAACCTTTCATGATGATTTCCACACGTGCCGCGTGGAGGGCTCCTGGCCGCTCTTGGACAATGATTATCTGTTTGTGCAAGCCACCAGCTCGCCGGTGGCCAAGGGGTCCAACGCGACGGTCACCAGCAAGGTGAGGTTAGCGCACAGGATGGGGGGCAAATCCAGGGTCAGGGCATCTCCTGTGCTTCCCAAAATCCTTGGAACCCCTTCAGACCCCGGGGGGGGATGAGGAAGGAGGGACAACAGTGGTGAAGGAATCTTGGGGTACCTGGAGGAATCTTGTGGTACATGGAGGAATCTTGTGGTACATGGGTTACCTGGAGGAATTTGTGGTCCATGGGGTGCCTGGAGGAATCTTGGGGTGCCTGGAGGAATCTTGTGGTCCATGGGGAATCTGAAGGAATCTTGTGGTCCATGAGATACCTGAAGGAATCTGGAGGAATCTTGTGGTCCAAGGGGTACCTGGAGAATCTTGGGGTACCTGGAGGAATTTTGTGGTCCATGGGGTACCTGGAGGAATCTTGCTGGGTTTGGCCCCACCTGAGTTTTCCATTGCTTAAAAGGTGTTAAAAAAAGAAGGAAAGTTTGTAATTATCCCCAAAGGACTGTGCAGGAATGGTTTGAGGATGGATAGGTGAGGTGACACCTCCATCCTGAGTTACCCCCAACCCCTGTGATGGAACCACACCCACCACACTCACCCCCCCTCCAACCCCACTCCCCACAGCTCACCATCATCTTCAAGAACATGAAGGAGTGCATCGACCAGAAGGTCTACCAGGCCGAGCTGGACAACGTCCCCGCAGCCTTCCAGGATGGCTCCGTCGACGGCGGCGCGCGTCCCGGCGGGAGCAGCCTGTCCATCCGCGAGCTCAGCCCCGGCCGGCACGTGGAGATCCGCGCCAGCTACATCGGCACCACCATCGCCGTGCGCCAGGCCGGCCGCCAGCTCTCCTTCTCCATCCGCGCCGCCGAGGAGGTGGCCAGGGCCTTCACGGAGGAGCAGGACCTGCAGCTCTGCGTGGGCGGCTGCCCCCACAGCCAGCGCATGTCCCGCAGCCCCCGCGGGCGCGGCCGCGTCCCCGCCGAGACGGCGCGGGCGCTGTGCCGGGAGATGCTGCCCGTGGAGGATGTCTACTTCCAGTCGTGCGTCTTCGACGTGGTCACCTCTGGGGATGCCAACTTCACCATGGCGGCGCACGGGGCACTGGAGGATGCCCGGCTCTTCCTGCCCGATGCTGAGAAGCTCCACATCTTCCAGTCTGGGGGAGGCTGCCAGCTCAGCTCTCCGTCGTTTCTGCTCCTCATCCTCCTCCTCCCGTGTGGATTTTGGGCTGGTTTGTTGCACTTTTAAGGCCTGCTTGCTCTGTAGGGAACTTGTGAGAGCTGCTGGCTCCACCTTGAAGGTTCCTCACCTTGAAGGTGTCTCAGAGATCCAAGAGAGGGAAGGGGTGAACCCCTGGTTTGCACCCCTGGTCTCACATGGATGGTGCAGCTGCTCCCAGCTCCTCTCCTGAAGGCAGTTCCAAATTTTTCTGCTCCATTCTGACACGTTCCTTCCCCTGCCCTGAAGGCAGTTCCAAATTTTTCCGTTCCATTCTGACACGTTCCTTTTCCCCTCAGGATGTGGCATTTTGGTGCATCAAAGGAAAATAAACCCCCAGGGTTACAAACCCCCTCTGAGCCTTTCCATAAATCACTTCCCACCTTTCTCCCCTTGTTAATCCAGCAGAATTCCACTCAGGAACGCTATAAATCCAGAAATAACAGACTCAGAGCCCAAAGCCCAATTTTTGGGCAGTAAAAAGAAAAAATTTAATGGATTTGGGACCTTTCACTCAGCTGCTCCCAAAGCAGAGCAAGGCCACAAATAATTTTGGGGAACATTGTGACCAAGAGGGAGACTTTTGAGTAAAAATCAGCCGGTTTTGTCCATGTCTCCTCTTCCAGGATAAATAACAAATGAATCTCCAGCAGTGGGAGCTGTGGAGCTTGAGATCTCCCATATCCCAGGCCACTGTTGCTATTTTTCCTTGTTTTCTTAGCACCTGTTGTGGACTCCATTTAGCCGGGTCTGGGCTTGGGGACCGGTGTCAGGTTTTAGGGAGGACAAAATTCTCTTGGGAATTCTCTCCCTTGGGCCCCGGTTCTCTGTTGCTGCTCAAGTCCAACCCAAACTGGAGCTTTTGCTTGGAAAAACAGAATTCCTGATGGCAAGGATCCAGCTGGGCACACAGAGGGGCAGGTATTGCCCCATGGAAGGTACAGGACTGCAGAGGGGAGGGCAAATTTCCCATATTTCAGAGGATTTCAGTAAAGCAGATGGAGCTCTACAGGAGAAATGATTTCCTTAGGGAAGACTTTCCTTTATTTTTAATAAATTGTTAAAAACTTGGCCATCCCTGTCCCACAGAATTGCAGGAAGGGCTTGTGGACGTGGGGGAAAAGGGAATTTCCGCCCCTCCAGGCACGGAGGCTCCACCAAGGGAGGTTCTGCAATTCAAGTTTCAATACATCCACAGGATTTTCTCTTCACTCTTTTGTGCCCAGAGCACAAAGAACGCACAGGAAATAATTTCATGGATACCACGGTGAGTTCCCCCTCGGATGGGTGCTCAGAGCACTCAGCGAGGAGCAGGAGACCTGCTCCATGTTTTTTATTTTTTATTCTGTTCCTGGTAATCCCTGATGGGTTTGACATTAAAGGGTCTATTTTTGAGTCCCCATTTCCCGTCATCTGTCCCTTCATGTCTTTGGGCAGCAGTGGCAGATGAGGATAAGAATATCTCCTTCCTCCCCTGCTCCCGTGGCTCCAGAGCTTTGGGTGGATGGAGAGGAAAGCCAGCTGCTTCCTGATATCTCCTTTTGGGAAGAAAATCATCTGGGGAGGGATAAAACCCTCTGGAGGGGGATAAAATCCTCCGTGGGGAGAATGTTCTCCATAGGGATGAAACCTCTGTAGGGATGAAACCCTCAGGAGCAGCGTTGGTGGTGCTGGAGCTCCTGGTGGAAATGGGATGGGTTTGGTGGTGCAGAACTTAATTGTCCTTTAGTTGTTGGCCTGTGGAGCCACTCAACAAGAATTCCATGGGGAAAGGAGGGTTCCCAGTGGAACCAGACCTTCCCACCTCCTGAACAGCCAGGAACCTGCACCACCAGGACTGGGCCTGGAGCTTGCCTTGCCAACCCTTTCTCAGGAGCCACCTCTGAAGTTTAGGGAGCAGCTCCCAAACTGAAAATGTCCAGGAATTGTGATTTGGAGAGCTCTGGTTTCAGATTTGAGGCTCAGCAGCTCCACCCAACCCAGACTTACACCAGGAGTGGCCCAACGTGGACAATTCTGACAACTGGATAACAACGTAGAGAAACTGTTTCTGATGAATTGTGGACTCATTAAGGTTGGAGAAACTTCTGAGATCATTAATCATTAACTCTCCCGCGGCACTGCCAAGGCCACTCCTGACCCGTGACCCCAGGCACCACATCCACTTGTTTTTGACCACATCCAGGACGGTTCCAACGTCTGACCTCCCTTCCCACCAACACAATTCCCAAAATATCCAACCCAAACCTTCTCCTGAGGCCTCCTCCTCTTGGGAGACCACCCTGAACCCCCTCAGCTTCAGCTGGGAGGTGAATTCCCCCAAGTGGGCTCTGCTGGAGTTGAATGGAGAGGCTGAGATGTTTTTGAGCAGGTGACATCAGCCAGGGAGGGGAAGGGTCGATCCAAAGTCCGCTGACGTCAATGGAAAGAAATTTGTTGACATCAACAACTCAGAGTGGTGCCAACGTTCTGCTCCTGGGTGTGGGGTGGGGGAAGAGCCTGTCCCTGCCCCGGGGTGGCCCTGAGCAGGAGCAGGGTGGGGTAATTTGGGAATGGGACAGGACCACCCCATCCTTGGCACTTTTTCCCCATTTAGATGAACACCTGCATTGGGTTTGAGATCCTGAAGGGTGTCCAGAGGAGGTGGTGGCCCTGGGACACAGGGAGATGGTGGCCTGGGACAGAGGGACGGGGTGGCCTTGTGACAGGAGGAGATGGTGGATGGATAGATGGATGGATGGAGGGATGGATGGATGGATGGATGGAGGGATGGATGTACGGATGGATGGATGGATGGATGGATGGATGGATGGATGGATGTACAGATGGATGGATGGATGATGGATGGATGGATGGATGGATGTACAGATGGATGGATGGATGATGGATGGATGGATGGTTGGATGTACAGATGGATGGATGGATGGATGTACAGATGGATGGATGATGGACTGCTGTACAGATGGATGGATGTACAGATGGATGGATGGATGGATGATGGATGGATGGATGGATGGATGGATGTACAGATGGATGGATGATGGATGGATGATGGATGGATGGATGGATGGATGATGGATGGATGGATGATGGATGGATGATGGATGGATGATGGACTGATGTACAGATGGATGGATGTACAGATGGATGGATGTACAGATGGATGATGGATGGAGAATCCTCTGCCATTCCTGGGAAAGCCTCTAGATGTCCACAGAACCCAGCACTGCGGCACAGTCAGAGCTCCAGAGTTACAGAATTTCCATCCTCACCCCCATCCACAAGGAATCACAGAATTCCAGAATTCCAAAATTCCAGAATTCCTTCCAGGTTGGTTCTGGCTGGAACAGACCTTCAAGATCATTTTCCTCAAGGCAGGGACACCTTCCAGACACCAGATGGCTCCAAGCCACACTTTTCTTCCCTGACCTTGACACTCCCAGCTTGGAGCAGTTTCTGCTGCTGAAAATGAGGAAAATTTCCCCTTTTTTTTCCTGTCTGAGGGCTCCAGGGGCTCTGTCCCTCTCTGCTGTCACTGTCCCTGACAGAGAAGGTGACAAACACGGGACTGTGCATTCCCAAAATCTGAATTCCTCCCTATTTATGGACAGTTGAGCTCTTCTGGAACCTTCTCTCCCCCTCCCTGCTCCAAAAAACACCCTCAGGGCAGAGAACAGGGGAGGAAATCCCACCTGGATGCAGAATTTCCACACCCCAGTCTCCAGTGGAAGCTGGAAAAATGGGATTTGACAGGAAAAAATCCTCCTGTGCAAGCCCTGAGGGCAGGGAAAAAGGGATCCCAATCCCTGACCCTGCAGAATCTCAAATATAGGGGTCAAAATCCTCTGCTAGGGACAAAACAGCAAAAAAAAAAGGGAATTTTTGAGAATTTCTTTTTTTTTTTTTTTTTTTACTCAGAGTCTGGGGCAACTGAGAGGTGTTTTAAAAATTTTGGTTTTATTTTTAGTGTTATAAGAAGGGTGAGACAATAGAGAGTTATAATTAGATGTTAAAAAGAAACATTATAGAAATAGGCAAATGTTATAAATAATAAATAGACTAGAAATAAATGTTATAAAAATAGAAATGAATGTCATAAAATAATAGAGATAAATGTTACCAAAATAGACGTTATAATTTATGTTATTACAATTAGAAGTTAACTATTTTTTAATTATAATACATTATAAGTGGGTTTTGGTTTATTAGTTGTAGTTACACTATGTTGTAAATGCTTTAAAGCTAATAATTTTAAATTACTCTTAGTGGGGTTTATTATAATGTATTTTTATAATTCTATTTTTCTCAAGTATTATATTTTTATAGTTCTACTTTTTAAAGTATTTAGTTTTATTTTTTTAACACTTTTTTAGTTCAATTCTTTCCTTAACAACACTAATTTTATTTTATGGTATTTTCTAAGTCAGTATTTCTCATTTTCTGGTTTCTACATGTGAGTTTTCTGCTAGGCTTTGGGCTTCCTCTTGGGCTATAAATTTATTTCCATATATATATAAAATATATATAATATATAACATATAATATACAATATACAATATATTATATTATATTATATTATATTATATTATATTATATATTTTACATTGTTTAATTTTATATTATATAATTTTTTATTTATTTATATAATAGATATTTTCTATATATTTTTACATTATATTTTATATAGAATAGACATCTTAATATATTATATATATTTCTGTATAATATATAAATAGAATATATTTCTATATCACAAATATATTATAATAAATAGAATACAATATAATATATGAAAATATATAAAATTATATAATCTATAATCTATAATACATAAAAAATACATAGTATTATATATAAAATATAAAAAGAAACAAATATAAAAATAAAAGTAAAACTATAAAATTTATATATATAATATAATATATTTATTGTGGGACAAGCAGCTGCTTTCCAGGAGCCAACCCAGTTCCAGAGTCCTTTTTTTTTCCCAGCTGGGCTCCATTCCCAGTGTTCCCTGTGCACAAACAAGCAGAGGAAATGCTTTTTCCACCCCAGCTCCCAGCT